TATATATATATATATATATATATATATACATACTGTAAGACACATACACACACACACACACACACACACACATCAGGAAACCAATATACTATGCACATAAGCGAGACATTATACAATGCTGTATTGAACAACACACACTAGAAACCATTTTCTTTTAATTAAAATCATGGTGCCTATCACTTGGTTGATGGATGTTGTACTAGTGACAAACATGGTGTTTGATATGACAACAGAAACTTTAATGTTTGTTATGATAAAAAGACATGACTATTTTTTATACACACCTTTTTGTTTCCTACTAAAATGATAGGCACATTAGGACAAAAATGTCTAACTTCTGGCGTCCACTTCTCAGGAATATTCTCCAAGCTGTCAGGACTATCAATACTGAAACACATAAGGATAACATCCGTGTCAGGATAGGACAGAGGTCGTAGGCGATCATAATCTTCTTGTCCAGCTGTATCCCAGAGTGCTAGTTCAACCTACAAAAAAAAAAAGAAGACAATAAAGCAAATATTTTTATAAACATATTAAGATCAGCATTAAGCAGATATGATAACCTTAGAAACAAAGTGTATAGAAACAAAAATTGCAAACAAATGTTCACATGAATTAACGTAGTAACACATTCATATTTGTAGAAAATCATAAACAAGTTAACTTGGAGCATATTTTACACCTTTCAACATGTGATACATGTGTCAACTGACATCCATATGTGATCAAATCATTAGGAAGTCTGTAAGAATAGTAATGTAACATCATTATCATTCATTCTTAAGTATTATCATAAGAGTTCTCACCATCTTGCATAAAGCATACACTGATTATTCATTTGAATGTAATAGACAATTTTAAACTGATTTCAAGTGTTGTAGCAAACTTATTGTTTAAAATGTATACAAATGAAAATTTTAGTAAGTAGTAACCAAGTAAATTCTTTGTTAGTTTTATCTTTAAGTGTTTTGGTAATTAAATGGTGATGATCATGTGAGTTTAAACAGAGGTATGCAAGTATTCATTAGTTTAAAATAAAATTATGTACACTCAGTTTATCTAATCCTTAAAAGTTAAAAGCATCAAATTAGTAAAACACACACACACACGTCATAAAAAATCATTTGTCTGCTATATAATCAAAGTGTACAGCCTTAATGAAAACTGTCAGGTCAAATATAGAAAAATGGCTGAGCACATAATTAATGTATTCAGTGAATTATGTTTATCTATTTCAGTATTGATAATTCTTGCAAGAGAACACTTTTGTTTTTTCTTTATGGTTCAGTTAATTAGTAGATATAAAACAAAACCGAATTTTAACTTTATTCAAGCAGTATCTTATGTTAATACAAGTTTTGCACAATAAAACAAAATTAAAAAACATTGTAGGATTTTAGAAGCATAAGTGTCCACTATACATGTAAAAATGTTGTAACAAATGTATCATTTTCAATTTCAAAAGCATAATAAATCCTCTTAATTTTGACATATAGCACTAAACACATGAAATTTTGAGCTACAAACTTGAACTCACTGTTCTTATTACATGTTATAAACTGTTCATACTATACCATTATGATTTAATTCTCTTTCATAGGTATTAAAATTAAAGGAATAACTCAGTGTCATGGCAATATTAAATGATTTTACAATTAAATATTTCATGGTCCTTTATTGCAATAAAGAACAATAACAACAGAAGTATGAATAGAAAGTTGCTTCTCCAGGGCTAGAATATATACATTATTTTTGTTACCAGTGGTTGGGATACTGCAAAACAACAAACAAGTATCAGGTTTATGCCTATACTGATAATAGTGAATCAAAAAATTGTACATCAGAAACAAGCTTTTTTTTTTTATTGAGAGGCTAGATTATTTTACTTTGATTGTGATTTGGTATATATGATCAATGAAATCCCATCTTTACTAATGTTAACTAACAACACACAAATAAAGTTTTTATATTCCAGAATCATTTTATGAAAAAAATTAATATCAACAAAAATTAGTAAATATATTATGTAGAAATGTTTTAATCACTGCTAGATAATTTACCTCTTGTATAAAATGCATGGCTATGCCAGTGTTCGAGCTTATGACAAATTGTTTTTTGCAGTCAGGAATACGGTAGTTTTCTAGTGATTGTATAATATATATTGCCAGAAAATATACTCTGACTGTTCAGACCAAGTGAAAACAACTATTAGGCATGTGGGAGAATACTGTAGGAATATGCTGGATTCTCAAAAAAATGAATAAACACAAATAAAATTACACATGTATATTTTATGCCAATGTATGTCTCAGATGAGCCCCTGCACAATGCATGAAGGCATCCAATCCCGTTTAGCCTATTGTTTTTTGCAAACTATACAGTATGTTCCCTACACCACCAGTTTAATAACATTGGAAACATAAGTCACTGCAAGTCACATGTTTGTAGTTGGTAGTTATATCCCTAATCTTCTGAATCTTAGAAAATGTGTTTCATTACAATTACAACCCAACTTCAAATATTTAAATAAATTAATAGTAAAACACTAATGAAAGTGTCCAATACTTAAGTAACTTAATATTCAAAAGATGAACATTATCAATCATATGTAAAAACTTCTGTTCACAGACAAGACATATGTGGCTTATCATACGTAAAAACTTCTGTTCACAGACAAAACATGTGGCTTTTGACTGATGACTCACAGTGATTTTATGTCCTGAACTAATACCCTATTATCCTTCAGAGAAACATCATGAGAATCCCAGCTTGGATAAAACTGATGTCATAATCTTATATAAAGTGTTCTGCATCACATGATATAAAGTTGTTAATCCATGAAATCAGAAAGTTACTGCAAATAATAAATCTGTTCTGCTTGGCTGTCTCAAATTAAAGTCTAAAAAATATTCCTACCCTTCTTTATGTTACAATATCATATATTTCTAAACCAAACACTGAAAAGTACCATGGAAAACATGAATCATGATAACGTGTGATTCATGAAGCATGAAATACACTTGCCAGTATTATCATCCTAGAAACTTTGCTTCCTTACAGAACTGGCCTCAATACACATTTAGCCACAGTTTATAGCTCTCAGTAATTAGGACTCGCATGACACAGATAATTACATATAGATTTACTTGAACATTAAAACAATGTTGCTCAAGTCTTCTTTTTTAATATAGATACATACATTTTCCATGATCTTGCTTAATAAAAAAAGCTGAGAAATATGCAGAGATAACAAACTTGTTTAAAGGAAAACTAAATCTGAAAAAATGGGAAACTGGAATGTTTATATATTGTTAACCATAAAGTTACGCAAGGGGATATCTGTGCTTTGCAACCACAAGTATCAAAACCCAGTTTTTAGCCATGTGACCCCTAAGGCTTACCACTGAGCCACCGAAAGGTGGAAAAGTGGGGTCTGCCCGATGCCTTGTATGTGTTTTAAGGCAGTGTTCCAGCAGAAGTTCCGGGAGATTAACTCCAAACCAAAATTAATGAGTGCCTAAATTGTATCACCAAACATATCTTTTTTTACATCTTCTTTCAGCATTTTAACAAAGTTTGAGAAAAAAAGAAGATCACATCAAGTAATAATATTTTAAGTAATACATGAAAAATAAAAATAATATGACAATGTAAATATCCTGAAGTTACCACACTTATAACAAATTACAATTCTATTTGATGATTTTATATACATCCACATTTTCTTAGAAATAGATGAAACACCTAACTTTCCCATTTTTGGTTTGTTCTGAAAGTGTCACACCTGAGCTCAATCTTAACTAATGTATTAAAAACAATCATTTGAATGAAAACAATCATATAATCCTCATTATTGCATTTAGTGATTGACAGGGGAATTAAAAGTAGACTCTACATAATGGGCAACCGGGACAACATACACAAAAATCAGGAGTAGATTTTAGAATCTCAGCATGTTATGTGCACTATATTTTCTAGCCAATATCACAAACAGCATGATGAAAGCTTCTCTTACACTTTATTATTGTCTTTCTTTACTTCAAGTGTCATCTACCATATACTTATAGAGGACTATCGTCTAGAAACAGAGACATGGCATTGCAATCTTAATATTTCAGTACAAAATATCTTTATTAATATTAATGAAAACCAAGAAAATTTAATAAAGTATTCATTAACTTTACCATGATTTACTTTACTTGTTGACCTGATTCATGACATGAGTAAAATATGTTGGCAAGGAAACAAAGAATGAAGCAGACACAAAGCCTTCTTCAGAGATATTGATACAAACAAATACAGACAGCACATTTTGTATCCTCTTGAGAATTACTTCAATGGTTGTTGAGGAATGCATCCTCCTGATTAGTTGATATATCCTACCACCTCTGCTCTTCTCGCTGCACTAAACACCAGTGACCCAGCAACCTTAGCCAGACTAACAAATCCTTCTCTGTGGTTAGAGGTGACCTATGTAGCGATGTATGCAGTTTCAATGGTCCATCTCAATCTCTTATCATAACCCTTATGCAAAGTTTCTAGAGGTCACCTCTAACCATAGAGAAGGCTTTGTTAGTCTGGCTAAGGTCGCCAGGCCACTGGTGATTAGTGCAAGAAGGGCAGAGATATATCAACCAACCAGGCGGATGCATTCCTCAGCAACAAACGAGGTAATCCACAAGAGGGTACATAATATGCTGTCTGTATTTGTTTGTATCATTATCTCTGAAGAAAGCTTTGTGTTGAAAAAATGTAAGAGAAGTGAATAAAAACTTTCTGCTTCATTCTGTGTTTCCTTGCCAACATATTTCACTTTACTTGTACACTACGTTGTTATGACACCATCATGTACAAGTCATTAACTGAGATATATTCTACATCTTATATACTTGTCGTTTCTCAGATATACACTAGCAAATCAAATTTGTCACAAGTATTACACTTTAACCTGCAAATTTCCTAAAACAAAATGTTAACTTAGGAAATTTATCACAATAATTTCACACGTTAAATATTACTACAAGCATATTTTTATGGAACTTTTAGCACTAACATGGCCATTATGTCAAAAACAATAAAACAATGTAATGCAAATTAAGATTCAAAATGAGAGTCTAACTGCAGCATTAATTAATTATTCTTTTGTACATATAATTATTACTTTATGACCAACTATTACTAGATGTTACTAACCTTCATGTTACAAATGAAATTTATACAGTTAATAACATAGAATAAGCTAATTTCTCAAGATACTTATTTCCAGCTGATCAGAAATGAGGGTATTAAGAAACAAAAGATAGTTCGCTATTTTGAGAAAATTAACTTTGCCCATTTTTAAAACTCAAAATCCAAAAGCTGAAACAGTAAAAATATATGTATAGTTAGAAGACTATACCTTGAATTGGGCCATTCGTCAGTGCTATTCACTTCAGAAACATTTCAATGGACAACAATAACTTATCAATGTTTTAATTCATTCTCATACAAAAAATAAGCTGAGAAACAAAATAATACAATAACAATTACTTAAAAGCTTTAGTTAGTCCTTTTATCTTAGTTCTAGAACTAATTAAACATAATTGTGTGCACTTATATTAGCATTTCAATAGAGATCTTTGGTTCCAACACTAACCTTTTTTTTTTTTTTTTACTAATGACTTTTGGTTTGGGATTTATTTTGTTATATATTTTACTTTAGATTCAAGTGTATGTACTGAATAGTGATGAGCAACTTAACTGATTACCTATGAGAAGCAACTACATAGATTAGTAACATAAGCTAATTGATTAATTGAAATTCTGATTACATCAATTGTTCCCAAGACAATAGACTAATCAAAAATAGTGCTTCCTATTGTTCCTGTTTCTGATTTTCCCTTCCTGCAATTGATTAATCGAAATTAGGGTTATCAATTATTACCATTTCCAATTATTCCAAGTATCCAAGTAATTGAAATATTGCCACCAAACTTGCTTGCTCTGTCTTTGTTACTGAAAAGGTATTAATGCTATCTTCCACTGTCAGTAGTTTTAAACTGTTGACTAGAGGGAAGGCTATTGGCTGGCAATACCCACAGTCACTTTTTTTTGTTGAATTTTGGTACTGCTAACTAAAGGGAAGGAAACTGTATGGTAGCACTACTACAAACTTATTTTTTCTGCTTGTATGTTCCATGGTTTAAGGAGTAATGTACTAATCAATTAATTGAATGTAATCAATTAATGTGGCCATTGATTAATTGATTAGCAAGTACCATCAATCAACCAGCTCTAGTACTGAGAGAAAAGTCAGATGTGAAAAAATCAGTAAAGAAACAGACAAACTAAAATACACTAAATTAAAACAATTTTTTGATTTCTATATGAAATTATGACTAACTTCTCACAATACCTTGTTTTTCTCTGACTAACCAACAAAGTTCTTGTAGACTTCAATCTATTACAAAATCAACATAATGGAATATATCACATTCATTTGTAATACTACATGAAAGAAAGTGGTTGCATCTTTCACAAAAGTATTTTTCTCCCCTTCACAATAGAAATTTTGAAAAAATAATTTTTGTCAAAAACATTTTTAATTCAACAGCATTATTTTCCAATAGGAACTAGAAATAACAGATTTTCCTTAGCTGAAATGTTGGTCCTTTTTCATTTCAACTTAAACCTGTCTCTTATTTAGCTAATTTATTTATCCACATAAATCAATATGAATTACTCTAACTTACTGTTACACAGAAGCAGTTATGGTTAATACTACACAACCTTCCCTCACAAAAAAAGAGGTAACAAAAAAAATTAAGTATACTATGAATAATGAGTTGAAAATTGAAGGAGAAGAATAAAAACACATTTGCAAAATGGGGATTTTTCATGTTTCAACAATCAAAGTCATATGAAAGCATGAGATACAGATTTAGATGAGCACTACTCACTTGGTACTCTCCCTTCCCCTACTAACCAGTTCACCTATTGTTTCACAGCATAACTCAGTATTATTTTCATGGAACATATGTGCAAGATTCTCTTCACTGAAAAATTTTGTTTTTTTCCCTCCATAGGTAAACATTCTATGACAGTTCTTTACATTAGTGTTACTTTACTAGTGTGTTACAATAAGCAAAATAAATCCTTAATAAATATTACCATGACAAAAATTTTATTAAGAATAAAATTAAGTTTTATGGTGCTTAAATCTATATAAAAAAGGGCTGTACACACACCTGCTTTCCATCAACCTCAATATCAGCAACATAATTTTCAAATACTGTAGGTACATACACCTCTGGGAATTGGTCTTTGCTGAACACAATTAGAAGACAGGTTTTACCACAGGCACCATCTCCAACAATCACTAGTTTCTTTCGGATGGTTGCCATTGTCTGGGTGCAATCTGGAATTAGATGAATAAATCAAGCATAACTAGTCAATAAATCTCATTTGGAGAGAATTTTCATGTATCATTTTCTGAGATAATGTTATAGCAGCTTACTACCCTGTTTGTAAATCTTCAACATACACACTAGGGGTTTGCTTTAGCTACAGATTATATACAACAGGTAACAAAATAGTTTTAATTAAAAAAAAGGTTTAATATTGTACCATAGCAAAGACTGATGATACATTTTATCACATCATTCTTTACTCTCGGTTTCTAACAGAGTTTGTTTACTAATTTATACCTGGACTATTCAGTTGTTTTACCAGACATTTGGTTTAGACAGCTATTAGTAACTATTCAGCACAAAAATAGTTTAAATTTTCATATCATTTATCAGGAACAATGTAACCAAAAACCTTTAAAGGAAGTTATAAGTAAACAAACTAAAACACGCAAGATCATTTAATAACTTTCTTAATGTAGAATATTAATAACACTAATTTAGATTTTTTGTGGATAAAGAATATAAAAATTAAGAACAAACTTAATTTTCAGTCACATGCTTTGTGTTTCTGTTCATATATCCATTTAATATGGATACTTTCAAAATACATAATCCTGTTTTCACATGTAATACAAACCTTATTAAAAATAACTCAATTAATTTTAGTATGATGAGTGTTACAATCTAATAAGGATTATCATAGTCTTTATTAGTCTAATTGAGTTTATTTTAACCTTACGTGAATGGCATTCTTGCTTGCACCAACCCCCATTTCTCTGTAGCTGCACACAGCAATGTTTACTATAATTTCAAGTTTACTCTGCATGTATTCACGAACTTTGGCAAGCTTTTAGTAAACATTACAAGTCTGTTGTACCAAAAAATTAGATTTTTAATAAAGTATTTACAAAAGATTTGATTGTGAACTTACAGAGTCAGTCTACTTAAAGACTGACTAGTCTAAATGCAAGTTATTTTTATGTTAAGAATAAAAATACTTTTCATTGTAGATTTTTCATATTTCACTTGCATAACCTCTAGAACCTCCTGAATGAATATCAAAATCTTTTTGCAGTAAAAATTTATTTTACCTGTTATTTTTCTACCCTAATACTAACTGTAGCAAAATCAACAATGAAAGATTAAAGTCAAAAGATGAAAAATATATGAAATAAATCTAAATTATCTTTGTCTTTATAGAATGACTGCACATTGTAACAAATAATTACACATTATCTACTTCTACTGCCAAACTCTTCAAATCTACCTTCATTTTGTTTTAATGGTTTACAGCTACACTTAGACACTCTCAGAGTGCATACGAAGCCATTTATCAGAGCACAAGTACCTAGGCTCTTGTTTTCTTACTCTCAGGCCCACGACAAAAATATATCCCAACATTTTGTAAAAATGATAATAGTAAATATAATTATTTATTTCAAATATGCAACATAGAACACAAAATATTATTATGAAGAAAAAATATAATGTCCTAACACTATTATAATTTAACTGGTTTTTCTAGTTAAATTATAAATAGGTTAAATAGATTCCAATTGTTGGTTCAGCTTATCTGAAAACAAATAATTAAAAACCTGTTGGTTATAAATAAATCAGCATAAAGTGTCCAAGAATTACTGACATTTTACTGAAACATAGGACATGATAGGAAAGCGTGGTATGTAGGTTTGACTTTGTTTATACCTCAGCAAAACAAGATTAGAGGCTATCAATTTACATTATGGCTTAGCAATATCTATACTACAATTGTGTAATTTGTGCCAAACTCAAAAAATCATACAAGGTTTGAAAGAAAATCTAAAATGGGCAATTTGGAGTAAAGAAATGTCACATGTCACAGAGAAGTGAAGATTGAGAATTTAAGTATTTCCTTTTAAAATTAAAACATAATAGCCAAATTTGAATTATATGCTACATTGCAATGCTAAGTTTATTTACATACACTGATAAAGTTGTTTAACTAAATTTTGAATGTATTTCTATAAAAAAGCTGTGACATGTGCTTCCTCTTCCTTACTGTACAAACACTTAATTTTTTACTAAATAAAGTCATCAACAATCCTACATTTTTAAAGTTATGGAATTTGAGATAAAATGCAATAACAGTAGCCACTCTTTACTTTGTGGAAACAATTAGGTTCTCTTTTCCTCATAAATATTACCGTTTTCTTAGAACAGATGCTCACTATACACACTTCTGGCTGAGGCTGATATGAATCTTCATACTAACTAAATTAGTATTGAAAATGTGTCTTTTGTTTAGTATCCATCAATAGACTACATTTACCCTTTAAAATTAAGTTCACTAGTGACTTCACTTTCTTTGTCATGACCTGTGACCACTAAACATAGAACAGTAACAAAAGAAGTAAAGCAAATAATTATCTCTTCTAGTTACAACATTTGCACTCAGTTGCTGCTTGACGTAGGTTGCTAAGCTTTTAAAAATTTTGCATGTGGAGGATATGAAACAAAATTTTCTTTATGTTTTATATATACATTTGAATAACTAAAAAATCATAAATTACTACATCATTACTATAGAATTCCACTATAATTTATTAAGCTTAGTAACTAAAATGTATTTTAGTCTAACAAAATATGAAATTTCGAGCAGACTAAAGACATACCCTACCTCGTTGAAATATTAGTTCAAAAGAAAGAAATGGCACCAAGCCCATTAAAATGGCTGAGAAAGCCACTAGGAGTACATTCTGAGCTTCCGATTGGTTATTCATGTCATATATAGAAGTGTATATAAGGGAGCATTTCCAAAAATGGAAAGAGGCAGGCAGGGTGCCACTGTGTTTGATTTATTACATGAGCAATATCTTAACAAACAGAAAAGATTGGACCTTCTTATTTTATATTCTAGCTTTTCAATATCAGTAATTTGAGTTTCTAATTCGTACGAAACTATAGACTTAGTATTTTGACTTCACGAACATCTAATTTGAACTAGTGCTGCATTCAACATACCGTGCGAGACAAAAAAAAAAATAAAAAAAATCTATGTTTATCTGTGTTTTTAATATTTACTTTTAAGTTAAGAAATTGAGTAATGTATATTACTAAAATTTGAATTATAATCTACAGTTTGATACCAAAGTTATTGACAAGTTTATGAAATAGTAGTTCAATAAAATTTTGAATGTGAGTCAACAAACAAGATGACAAAGGGTTAAAGTGAGGACCCAACAAAACAGCTGAAGTAAACTAAAGATTGCTTTATATTCCAGGAAATCTACTTTCAAGCTCTTCTCTCAAAGATGCTTTTATTGTTACCAGTCCACAATGGCTCATGTTAACCTTTGTGAAATAGCTATGAAGAGCAACCACAACTAAGATAACTTTCAAAATCACCGAGTCCACAAAATTAATTGTTTTTAGTAATTTCTTCAAATAGTTGTAGCAATTCCAAACATTTTTACAATGTGGATCATTGACTTTTTGTTATGGCTGGTGATGATGATGTCAGAGGCATGTTGTTATCTTATGTTACAAAAGCCTTTCCAGTAGGTATAGGTTGAATTCCATCTTATCTGCACATCTTGTACAAATTTCCTTTGAAGCATATTTACATAATTTTTTATAGCCATTAATTTTGACCATAGTGGAGATGAGTGGTTGAAATTTGAAAAAAATATTTCTTCTGGCTGTTATGAGATCAATTTTAGCACACTCAAGATTCTCATTAGGAGATGACTACCAGCGAGGTTCATTAGATTCTGTTCAAACTTTGGGAATAATTCCAGTAAAAAAGGTTAATTATTCAATAGCCTTAATTAGAAAATAAATACTTCATTAGGGCTAGCACAGGTCATAAAACTCCTGGAAAGTCATGGAATTTTATAAGCAAATTTTTTGGTACTGGAATCTTGGATAATCAGTGGTTTTTAAATTAGTTCCTGGAATAGTGCTTGGAAGTGTACCTCCATTGCTCTTACATCCCCCATCTTTATTGACAACAAGCCATACCATTGTTGTTTTTTTCGGTTTCATGAAAAATGATCTCTGGTAAATATGACCCATAAAATGGGAAATATACTGTCTTAGCAATTCAGACTGTTTACAGTTTATGTACTTTGTATCTCCATACAGGAGTGAACAGGTGTCGTGTGACTGTTGTTCGAATGATATTGTTAGTTCAAAATATGCTGAAAACTCGTATGTAAAGTTGTTGATAGGATAAAAAACATTTCTAATTTCATCTTCAACTTAAACTCTTTAAAAATAGTTAACAACATTTCTAGCCAAAGTTTTCCATTTATTATTGCCTAGAATTAGTTATTAAAAAATGAGATGCAAATCCAAATGGCTAAAATATAAAAGAATGAATGTCACAAACTTCTATGAGTAAAATAGCCAAGTATTTGACACTAAAGACAGTCCATCAAATTATATTTGATTAGGTCTTCATTATTTTTACAGTGATCCATCTTGGTCAGGATATTTTAAGTGAAATTTTGAGCCCCATAACTAAATATTTCTGGAGCAATCAGGACTGTCAATATAGTATTGTGATTATTGTTATTAACATTATTTCACCTGTGTGTGTGGTTTTATAAGTTGCTTCTTTTAGATTTAAAATGAGCAAAATTCTTTAAAAACTGATCCATAAAGTTTCCAGTTCTTTGTTTGGTGAAACTGCAGCAATAAACTGCAAAAACATTTTAAAATAACTGAAAACCATGAGATATACGACATTCTTAATGATGAGTGACAATATGAGTGGTCTCAGTTACAACATGAGCATAGTATTTAAGAGAAAGATGTCATCAAACTAAAGAATTCATCAGTACTTTGCTCAGTAACACATGGTTATTTAGAAATTTTTTTATTGGCTTTGATATTTTCTTTTTTGAGTAAGATCATTCTTTTGTGTGCAAGTATAAATTATCTAAGATCAGTGTTTACACTGATTAGTTTTCCATAAGCTAATCAATTAATGTCATGAAAATAATCAAAATTTGCGTTTCCAGTTATT